GTTCGCGGCGTGGCGCCTGGTGGCCCCCGGAGGGGAGGGAGAGGGAAGTAGGGGCGAGGACAGTGACCGAGCTTCTAGACGGAGGCGTTTCTGTTTCGCAGCTGCAGCGCCTGGCGCCAAAACCGGGCTCCGCCCACTTCCTCGCCCCTGGATGTGGGTGCCTCCAAACGCTAGGGGTGAGGGAGTGAAGAAAAACTTGGGCGGGGAGAATCGGAACTAAGCAGGAGTTCCCCTCTCAAACCACTCTCTCCAAAGACCTCTCTTGAACCTAAGGGGTCGACTCCCAAAGACGTTGGCCAGGGTTGGTGGCGTGTGAAGTGTAACGTGTTGACTAGAAGTCGCTTCGGGTGTTTCCGGAAGGGGCCGAGTCAGTCCTCAGAGCAGGAGGGGAAAATTGGGGGAGGGAAATCGCTAGGGGGAGGCTACAGATTATTCTGGCGGGAGATGAAGGGCGGGGGAGCGAATTAACCGAAGTTTTGCTGCAGGGACCACCTCCCGGCATGAGGGGGCTGGGCTTTAGGGCTGCGGGTTAAGCTCCTCCCGACAGCGTTAATTTCAAACTGCGCGACCGTTTCTCACCTGCCCTGCGCTAAGGCGGGGGCTGGACCCAATTCCATTAGAGAGAACTACGCAGGACTCGAGCCTTCCGCAATTCACTGAGCCCATTTACGCAAGTGACGTCAAGCACTGCTACTGGCTGCTAGGGGGGGGAGGAGTACGTACCTGGCGTAAGGAGGGCGTAGAGCGTTCCCGCCATTGGCGGCGGTTAGGGCGTTTACGCAACGGCCTGACGTAGGGGAAGACGCGTTGGTCGGGGGGAAGGTTCTAGAAAAGCGGCGGCAGCGGCTCTAGCGGCAGTAGCAGCAGCGCCGGCTCCCGTGTGGAGGTGCTCTTAGCGGTGTTGTTTCTCGAGCAGCAGCAGCTCTCACTACAGCGCCAGGACGAGTCCGGTTCGTGTTCGTCCGCGGAGATCTCTCTCATCTCGCTCGGCTGCGGGAAATCGGGCTGAGGCGACTGAGTCCGCGATGGAGGTAACGGGTTTGAAATCAATGAGTTATTGAAAAGGGCATAGCGAGGCCGTTGGCGCCTCGGTGGAAGTCGGCCATCCGCCTCCGTGGGAGAGCGGCGGTGAAACTGGGCCACTTCAAAAGCGGCTCGTCTCAGGATATTTTTGAGGAGAGGTCGTTAGCGGAGGCCGGGTTGTGAACAGTATCTTCCCCACCCTCAGCCTGCCGGCGCCATTTCCCTTTGCTGGGGGTGGGGGATGGGGAACTTCCACATGGCGGACGCAGTCCTGGTTTGGCGAAAAGTGGGGCGCGGAGGCGGAAATTCTTACTCCCTTTTCAAAGCACGCTGATTTGGGGGCTCTGGCGTCCCCGCGTTTGAGCTTTTCGGCGGGCTTCGGATCCTCCGGAGCGAGGCTGCGGAGCTTCCCCTCCCCCCCTCCCGGGAACCGGATTTGGCGGCCGCCATTTTCATTCCTTTCCTTCCTCGCAGCGTTTTTCTTTTCAGTCTTTGGATTCTGCTAGTTTCGTTCCTTTACGGAAGAAGAGAAGTGGTTAACTATTTTTCTTTGTTTTCGGGTTGTTCTCATGCCGTTTCGGGGTGGATTCCGAGGGTTTGGGGGAGCTTGGATCTTTAAAGTCCTGCGCAGCTCGTTAGAGGCTCTTTGCTTTCCCCTCGATGAAATGGCGCCATTGCGTTCAGAAGCCACACCGAAGAGCGGGCGGGTGGGGGAGTCGGTTCCCCGGGGCTGGTTCGCACCGGTGTAAGAGAAGGTAAAACGACCTAGGGTGTCGGGCCGAGTTTTAAGGGAAGCCATATTACAAAGAGAACATTTTGTTTTCCAGCCCTCGCTTTTTGGGTAACGGTTTTATCGGAGTCTGCGGTGACTTAAAAGCTAGTTGAATTGCAGGAAACTTTAGACCTAAAAAGGGGAGCCATTAAGTTAGTACCTATTGGGGGGGCAGTGGGGACGGGGGTGGGGGGGTTGGTTTCACGATCCCGTAAGGATTCCTTGAATTGTAAGATATTCGTGGTAAATAACGTTTTTGCTGGGAAATGTAATCTTTCCTGGGTAAGACTAGAGGGTCTTGTGATAAGCTAGAAATTAAGAGGGAAGTAAAATAAAAACTTTTGGTCTTCAGTTAAAACGTGGCTCAGTCTTTCATTGCTTTTAACGGCTACGTACAAAACTTGTTTTCAGGCTTGGCCACTATGTATTTGAACTTTGTCATTTGCTTTTCTCATTTATGTTTGCTATGATGGTTGATCATTACTTGATAAGCAAAAGGTCTCCAACGAAGGGGGCCTGGTTGGGTATTTTCTTTCTTAAGCACGCTTATAAAATAACTTTGTTTGTAATCGATAGTGGACATCGGGTAAGTTTGGAAAAACTGAGGTAAGTAATGAGTTTTTGCCTTTTGTTAGTGATGTGTAAAAGTTGTTGTAAATGTGCTTTTATATTTGCGTAGTTTATTTGGGTTGTAAAAACTGATTTATAGTAGACTAAGTTAAGTAAAATTAGGTTAATTTAAATATCAGTGTGTCAGATAATCATTTAACAGGTCTTTTGAGGGCTTTAGGAGGTAGTTTGAGAATTTGTTGAGCTTTAAAAAATATAATTCTGAGAACAGAGGAAAAAAAATCTCTAATTGTATACTTACCACTATTTTTTTGAGCTGTTGGGGAATTTTCGTGCATAGAAGTAGTAACCTCCACGGGCCTGAGCTGTATGTAGTACTAGCTGGTAATAAAGTCTCTTGTTGTATGGAAAATTTTATTTGACCTTTGATTTGTATTATAGACTCACAGCAGATGTTTCTGGGCACTATGACCTATTCTGGCTTCTGAATACCTGTTTTAAATTTTTATCCTAGTTATCTGAAAACGAAGCATAACAACCCATCTTAATTGAGAGCCGAAGATACCGGCTGTTAATGCAACATATATTTGCTCGGTGGTTTAAAGGGGTTAACGTTTTTTCTGCCCAGGTTTCCG